TTGTGAAATACTTATGAGCGTAAGAAGTATCTTTGTCGCTCGAGACGCTTGCACTGACGCAATATACTAAGAAACAATACAATTGAATATATTCGATTAATTTCAATATCTTACGAATGACGGATTATATAGGTAATAAGAGAATATTCGCTACTTTGTAAATAAATTTCTTAGCGAATGCCATTAAATTTTTAATTTATTTTTTCATCTCGATAGATCACGGGCTTAATTAATTTTGTAATGTGACGTGACCTTTTTCTTTTTTTTTCTTTTCTTTTTTTCTTTTTCTTTTTTTTTGTAACCTCGTACAACGTTTTTGTATATATAATACTTTATTAATTTGACAATTTCATTTGTATTTTCATAAAGATATTTCTCACTGCGATTCCCCTGTCCAATCCAATTATATGCTTGATTTATTTAAAAACATTTTTTAATTTTTAGTAATAAAAAATACTATATAAATGCTTGCATATATAGTCTATCTTGAGTTTTGCGTATGTGTATATTGTGTTGTTTTAAAATAAATATAACATTTTATTTATTTATTTATTTAACATGATGAAACATAGTTAAAATTTAATTTCAGCTTGTCAGAATGTTTGTTTATTCCATATTGGATTTCTTTATTAACGGTAATATTGTTTCTTCTTTCTTTCGAGGTTCGTCGTTCTTATTTTAAATTCTTGGTCTTTTGAATTATTATCAATTTAAATGCTCGAGAATGAACATAAGAAGAAAGAGAAACAAGTTAATGACACAATCACAAATTAAATTGAATAATCAAATTCGTAGAAATGTTACCTGATTTCAATCTCTTGGGTTTTTCATTGTTTCTCTATGGAGACAATTTTATATGAATTCAAGTCAATTCTTCGTCATTGTTAATCGAACTATTCTACGCGCATTTTAATTCATTTTATTCAAATTACACGAAATCTTTTAAATTTGACAAATAGTCGTATGCGTATTACTTGATAGCTTTATTGCTTATATTACATTCTTTTTCGATATTTTTTTGCAACATCGAGAAAGACATTGCTCATTTCCCCCGAGATTTATATTGGCACTTTCCCTCTTCTTCTTAAAATATTAATTTAAAAAATTTATTAGCCATTTTAATAATACAAGTGAAAGTTAATTTAACTAATTACAAGTAAAGGCTAATTATCGGATTGCTGTAAATGGTTGTACAAGTTTCTTATTAAACGAATCTATTTCAGAGTATAAAATAAAGTGACATTTTAAAGATTAAAAATAGGACGGAATAGTGTAGTATGAAGGGAAGGAGTAGAGATAAACAGAAAAGAATGATGAGCAAAAACGCACGTGAAGGGAAGGAGAGATAAAGCGAGAAAAAATAAGAGAAGGAAAACGATATTCAGGATTTCAAGTAAGAGAACGAAGGGTGAGAAGAAGAAGTAGGAGAGAGAGAGAGAGAGAGAGAGAGAGAGAAAGAGACCTTGCTTTGCCGTCGATTTGCCGCAGGGACGGTTGCATATGCATTGTCTCGCTCATACCTTCCAGACATCCTCTCTTTTTCCCCTCTATTCGCTCATTTCTCTTCTTCATTTCCTTTAGCTTTCTTTTCCTCCCCCCCCCCCCCCCCCACTCTCACTCTCACTCACTCACTCTCTCTCTCTCTCTCTCTCTGTGTGCACGCTCTGCTCTGTATTTCTTTCTATCTATCCATCTCACGCATTCATGGACTCGTGTACAGCTCGACCGTAGTAGAGAAAATCTTGGCTACCAAATCTATGTTTCGCGAACAAGTATGTGGTTTTGGTGGGACAGCGTTTGTTTCAGCGTTTGTTTTGTCCTTTGATTTTTAACAAAGCGGTTAACAAAGTTTCTCTCTTTTATATGACATCAATTTAAAAGGGAATTATCAAGTGTGTAAATTAAAGAATTCGCAACACCCTCTTTCGGTCTTATCTGCATTGAATGCAAGGATAATTGTGTTTTATGCACAAAATGTATTGTAATACTTTTTGCCCGTATTTCACGAGATTTTGAGATATGTCAGTTAAAGAAAGCTTGAACATAACTCAAATATAAAAAGTCCGATAAAAGATAAAAGCGACCTTATCAAAAATACATAAATATTTATGTAAACCGATAACATTATTAATGAATACCCAAGTAAGAAAATACTTTGACAAGCAATATTCGTTCATTACATTTTATCGGACTGTCCTTTTTCAACGTATGACAATGAAATAGTGGAATAGCACAATTAATATTGGACAATTAATACAACTTATTCGACAATGTATGAATCGTTGGCCAAGAGCGCAAATTCTCAAGCTACATCGTTAAACGAAAGCTGCGACCTACTGAAATTTCCGTTTATCTGTAAATCTGTAAATTTACAGCTCGACTATTAATTTATAAAACGGACTCTTCGGCGACGTTTTCAAACATATTACCTAAAAAGCTGTATCAATTTCAATTTCATTCTCGGCTCTGAGCAATGAGATCTCGAATTCATTGCCGGTCTGAAGATCTGCACTCGGAGAGGTGAAGAAGTGTCGCGTCCGTCGAGTGAAAAGTGCCAAGGGACAAATGTCGGGGGGGGGGGGGAGGAGAGCGGGGGGGGGGGGGGGGGGGGGGGGGGGGGGGGGAGCCACAAAAAATAATCCGATACATGTCGGTAGAAGACTGCCAGCGGGTTCACAAAATTGGGGTTGGGTGTGGCGAGCGATGTAACAGAAGGGGAGAGAAGGTGCCTTCTTTGCTGGATGACTCGGCTGTCCCTTTTCCCCTCCGCTCTCTCGCTCAGCAATAAGTCCAGATCTCGTCCAAGCCTCTTGACGTATCACCTTCTCGCTCTCTCCTTTATGTCGTATTATTTTGCCGTAGGCAAACTGAACGGCTGTACCACGGCATCTGCCTGCAGCGCCCCAGGCCAACCATACTAGGTAGGTAGGTAGAGAGAGACAGAGAGAGAGACAGAGAGAGAGAGAGAGAGAGAGAGAGAGAGAACGACAGAGCGAGGGAGTGAGGAAGGGGGAGGGGTTGGAAGGGGGGGGAGTCAAAGACAGAGGTGATGAACAAGTCCTTCTGGCTCCGCTTGCTTGCTCTCCTCAGCCTTGCTACTTCTCTCTCCCCATTCTTTTTCCTCCTCTTACGTTCTTACCGTTTCTTATATTTTATTTCGATCTTCACGCATTTTTCATTGAGTGCTGATAATTAATTTCGAAAAATGTATGCATGATATTCCATTTCGTCTTGCGAGTTTCGTTCCAGCAATCATTAGCTTTCTACGTTTTATTGTCATGGCTTTATAGACGTTTAGATAACTTTACATTATTCCTGGAAATGTAAGTGAGAGCACAGTAATATTTATACGACATTTACACAAAATTACAGATCTAAAATAATTGTCCTCTCCCTAATTTTCGATTAATTGTATTATTTTATATATATTTATAGATTTATTTCTACCAGTGATGCAATAAACGTTGCAAATTTGTATTTAATACAAATAGTAAAAAAAAAAAAACCGATAACATTAAATATAAATATATTTGTACTTTTTTAAAAATCTATATGAATCCCGATTTTTTATTTATTTAACACATTTTATCATTACCATGCACTTTCGTGAATCATGTATAATATGAAATTAATTATTTTATTTATATAATCTAGAAAGATACTTGGAATTGTTATAGTAACTGTTGGCATTCCCTAAATTGTATTATAAATATTGAAGTTTTTTTATGTAAAGAAGATCAAATATTTATGAAATAAATAGTATCTAAAAACAGTGATGTTACATCATTGAAATAATACCAATGACATTGTTAAAATATTAAAGATTTGAACAAGTGTAATGATATTTCATCGAAATATATTATCCTAATTCATAATTAATGCCTTGTACAGTCATGATTTTAAAATTATTTTTGAAACACATATATACTATATATATATATATATATATGTAAATGTAACGGATTTCAGATTTTAATATAACGTAGGTTTGTAACTATTAGTATTATAATAATTTTTTCATTTGATTCAAAGAGTATGTGAAATCTATGATGCACTTAAAATTTATTATAATTTTATAATCATCAACTATTCATTTAAATTTATATTATTTATTGCATATTAAACAAGTATTGTTTAAACATTTAATTAATTTACTTTAATATATTAATAATCTTATATATAAATATCTATTGAATTGATTTGTGTTTTTTTGTTTTGTTTTGTTTTTTTTTTCTTTGTTTTCGTTTTGTTGATTCCAAATACAAATCCTGATAATTATTGTTTATTTTATTCAATAAAAAATATTATTTTTCTCTAAAATATTCTTAATCTTTTTTAATTGTTTATTAAAATTATATCATAAAGAATTTTTTTTATGTACATATAGCGTACCAAGATAGAGTTAAAGTACTTTAATCTAATATTTATAATAGAATTTATAAAGCATGTACAAATATTTGTTAAATATATTCATCTTTACATTATAAACATTGGCTTGTGTCTGTACCTAAAATATTATTTTTTATTAAACTTATTGAAATATATTATGTCATATTTTACAGAAATGTACAAAAGTATTTGGTGATATAATATGATATATATGATATAATACACACACATATATATATATTTTGATATAACGCTCTACCATTGTTGACATGCACTTTTATAAGCGAAATTCTAAATTCGATATATAAAACATTTGTTATTTCAATTTAGAACTTTTAGTTAAATTTTGTGCTATAATCAATATTAAAATTAATGACGTAAGAAATTATATTCTGCGAACATTATGTGAATAAATTTGACCTCGTAAGATAAATAAGAATATATTAACAGAATTTATTAATGATATATAATTTACGCAATATATAGCATAATCGTATATAACTTTTTTATAAAATTTACATAATCGTCAATAATTTTTGGTACAAGTCATATATATATATATATATATATATATATATATATATATATATTTATATACATTGGTTTTTGTTAAATGAGCATTTATCTTATATATTAATATCTATGTTGAGGTAAACTGTATAATGCAAGAGGACGTATGTTGATTTAACCTCTATTAATGCTTGAATTTTCAAACTAAAACGCAACACATTGAACCTTGTGGACAGTCATCAGCTCGTGTGGCTCTGAGATTTTCGTGACACGTTTCCATACATTCTCCCAAGAAGTGGCGACACCGATGCTTATCCTCTTCTCTCACTATAATTTTGAAATAAATAAAACAATTAACAGTAATTTAAAATGTCAAAGTGCGTATATCTATGGATCTTAGATTAATCCAAATTTTTGTTTTTTTTTTTTCCATATCATTAGTACGGCCTTTTATTTTCATTATTCCTAATATTTTTATTTACATAATATACAATAATTTTTGCTATCGATAAAAGAGATTTTTTGAAAATTTTTTTGTATTAACGACTCACTTCTGGGACAACAGGCATCAGTTCCATCGGGACAAACCCTCGTATCTGGATTGCTACATTTTTCCCTCGCTATACATGCCCAAGATGGACACTCTTCTATTGGCCTTTCAGCATCCGAAACTATGATGTCTGTAAATAATATAAAAAATTTAATGAGATTCTATAGTTATGTAATTCTATAGATTAGCGATAAATATTGATGTATGATTAAGTTTGGATGTGCTATAATTATAAAAGTAGTAGAATTTAATTTCTTATTTAATTGCATTGCATTATTTGTTAAAATAGCAGTTTCAGAACAGAATTCAAAAATTAATTTATTAACATTATTAATATATACGGTTATGATGAAGATTTGAAGTAAAAAAAGGTGAATTAGTTGTATTGTTGATCCTTATTGTCACATTTTAATTATCACAGTCAGGCTAAAATTAGTAAAATAATCTTCGAATTGTGTATATATGTATAATAAGTGGAATAAGGCGATTATTAAATCAAGTGATATTTAATAAAAATAGCTTACCGAGTCGTAGCTCGTAGAAATCAAAATAAGATTAAATGCATAGAGAAAGATGGAGCACTATCATCGGTCTTCAATAAATAATTAAATATTTTCTAAAATAATGGTAATACTATCATATTTTTAAAGCAATGTACAAAACAAAATGCTTCAATAGTATCGTAAAAAATAAAAATGTCACGAAAAATGTGACTAATGGATTTGCCTTAACGATCGACGTAATAAAACCAATATATATATATATATATATATATATCAAAGTGCAAAAGTAATTTGCAGCGAGAAACAGTAAGGAAAGAATATTATGTGCAATAATAAATAATCGATATTATTATAATCGGGAAAGCCGATATTGTTTTTATTGCTCAAGCTAGTAGTCATTTAAATGCCAGCAACGCTACTCCATATTTTTCTATTTAATATAAAAATACGTTATTTGATAAATACATATTATTCACGTAATGAGTATGATTTATAGTATGAAAGCTCAGTAGCATTCAAATGCAAATTAAAAGAAATAATTAAATTAACGATAGATAAATTTACCTACAACTGCTAATCAAATACTTTCGTTTCTAGATAAATTATTCAATTTATTATATACGGTAAATTACTATACTATACTATACTATACTATTACTATACTATTACTATACTATACTAGACTATACGGTAAATTATTAGTCTCGTATTATTCTAATCAGACATTTGTTATTAAAATTTACAATAATTAATAAGTTTACGTTCGTTCCAAAGCTTATCATTAATTCACGTTGAGAAAACATTAAATGATTGCATAAATCATAGTTTCCTCAAAAATTAATTTAAGCTTATTATTCGTATTATTCAAGGTAATGGAAATGCGAATGAAATAAAATCTATTTTAGCCTAACTGATGCATTTAAAAATCGTAACACGGAATTTTAGCAATAAAATCGTGAGTTGTACGGAGACAGGACTTTTCCTATTAGCATATAAATAATGATAGAAGAAAAAAAAAATGATTAGTTGAATAGATCAATTATATAAACAAATATATGAAATTTCGTAAAGTATAATCATTACATTTATCGGTAACATCAACGACAATTTCATCAAGAACGGTATGTCCATCTTTCAGACGGCATACGTACTTCCCCCAGTCATTATATGTAAATTTTCGGATGAACAGTGTTCCATCGTTGCCAACTGACAATCTTGACTTGATATCAGTACCGCAATCGGTTGATTTTTTTAGCATATTTTTATTGATAGGATAAGTCCAGTCGTAGTGCAAATTTTTGGTTGGATTCTTTATTTTTATTCCACTACATGGAATCGATGCCGTATTTGTTTCTGCAAGTGATGATGCCTCTTTTAAGTTAAATTATTCATTAGAAAAATGTGGGAATAGTAGTTTTCATTCGGTACTATATATATATATATATATATATATATATATATATATATATACACTATTGATATATTTTCCAACTATAATATGTTTTCTATTTTAAAAGTGAGTCCATAAGTTACATTTTCACGGAATTTCTGCAAACAATTAATAAGACCGGTAAGACATAGTTACAATGAATTCATATTTTACTTTATCTATATCAAATTTTTCATTTAAAATTATATTCATAATTACGAATATATTACACGATAGTTTCTTCCTCTTCCGTATAGAAACATAATACTTACAGATTGAAAAACATTACAATTTAAATTATTTCTTCTTTCCTAATTTTTTTTACAAAGAAGCTCATGATATTAGTTAAGCAAAGATGTTGACATTAATCTTATCAATAAGTAAAATTAAATCATAATATATATTAACTTGAGATATCAGTCATCTCGGATAAAAATTTTTTTATATGAGTAGGGATACGTAATTAATTAATTAAATTTGGATAATTTAAAAAAAAAAAAACACAATACACAGTTACAATGAGTTTTTACAAATTTCCTTCTAAGAAATTCATATTATTAGGATAAAATTAGTTTATGCCTTACACTTTGTGCTTAAAGTTATTCGTGACATTAATGCTATTTGACATCTACCTCGGAACAGTTAAAAATAAAATTTACTGAAACGTACGAATAAAATATATTATATTTTTTATCAATTTGTAATAATTAATAGAATTTATATAGTTATACCGATAAAACAAAATATTTAATTCAATTTAAATAGCTCGTTAAGGATTTTAAAAGCAATAAAAAAGCTTTTATTGACATTATGTTATTAAGAATTATATGTTTGTTAGATTTAATATTTTTTTTTTTTTGTTTTAGATATTGTAATACAATTTTTTATATACTTGATAATGAAGAATAGATTTCTATTGATTTATTGTAGAAAATTAAGTTGATCGATACATAAGATAACTATCACTATTTGATTGATAAGAAATTAATTTGAGTGTCACTTTATGTAATTATGCTAATAATAAGTATATATAATAAATTGAAAGACAATAAAGGAAATTTAATGTGCAAAAAAAAGAAAAAAATTATTAAAATTATTGAATAACAGCAGTTGAGTGGTAATAATAGCTTTTTTTATGCTTTTTATTTAACATAAAATCGGTTAAATTTTTTTTTTTTTTTTCATAATATTCCGTTATAATATTCGTTATTAAACGGATCAACTGGAAAATGTAACATTTTCATTCGAATTAAGATTTAAATGCTTCATTGAAGTTGATCTCTATAAGGATTTTATAGTTATAGTTATAAAATGAAGCAATTAATTTATCCAAAATAGATTTATCGCAACATCCTTGTAAATCCTTATAGTTGTTGGAAAGTATAATCCGTTTAGACCTTCCATGACTTTTCATCAAATTTTTATAATCATATGCGTTTGTAGATATTTACTATAAATATTAATTTAGCACACTGTCAAATGAACTAAATATTATTCACTCGTATACTACTCGCTACATAATTCTAACTTACACTCACGCTTTTCCTCATATAAATATAAATATTTATTGTATACTCTCAAACTCAAAATTCAGATAATGCAAGTCCCGATTATTAAAATAGTCGCGTCATGTCGAACCGTCTCAACCAATGAGAATTGTAAAATAAATCTCGGAGCTTAAATTCAAAGGCTCAAGTACTCACTCGAGTGCACGCAGGCGACGAGCAGCGAGATAAATATTATCAGTAGGCTCTTCATCGTCGCTTCTCTCATTGAAATATCCTCTCTTTTGGACGTACGTCATACGATTGCTGCGGACCCTTGGCCGCTTTCTCGTTTTATACTGAAAACGCGACGCGCGGTGGAAGCGGCAAACGAGGGCCGGCAGGGTAGGAATCCACGACTTGCCGGTAAGGATTTACCAACGCGAGCTGTCGTTTTATCGCCAGCCGTCTTCTCTTGCAATAACACCCGCACCATGGCTTTTTACTTGTGACGAAAGCAGCACGAGCGAATTACCATTCGGATTTAATCGTCAAGGCACATCGTCCTGCGCAACTTGCGGGTTATATTTGAATAACCGCTCGGTAGAATCGTCACGTGTACGACTCGATTGCAAGAGTTCGTTTTGACCTTTGAGTGGCAGATGATTAGCCGTTTGGCAATTTAGAATTGGCCCGAGACGCTGTAATATTTGAGAATGTCAGGATTGTTTAATGTTACTCTCGGTTAATCATTCCTTATATTAAATTCGTCTTTTAATATAATTGTATATAAAGAGTAGGCGATGCTTCTTATATTGTGACTTATTTTAGGAATAATTAGTTAATAATTGTATGAATAATAACATCTATTTATAAATAGTAATATATTAGAATAATATGTTTAACCTTGCTTAGTTTGGGGAATTAGTTATTTTCCTAAACGTTTTGCAATCATTGATGCAAATAAATTGTTTGCTTCTTTATTGTTTAGACTAAGAAGTACATAAATATTGAATGTAAGTTACATTATAATATGAGAAGATATTATGAATAAGTCAGTGATTTTATCATTATTATATCCTCAATTTTTCGAATAATTTAAAAAAATTATACTCAGGCATACACCTAACTATTGTTATGTTCAAAATATTTCATTTATTTTATTTTAATTCAACGAATACGAATTCAATCCCTAATCAATTACATATCAAATACATACTTTTGAATAATCATTGATTAATTGTGTAGCATTAAATAATAATTAATTTGCAATCACAAATCCATCCCTCTAAACAATATGTTTATGCTTGTAAAACAGATTTGAAGCTATAAAAATGATTACATAATATTACTTCAATTATCATATATAAGAATTTCACTAATCTAGATGGTGTAATGAGTTTTTTTTTCGCAGTAAAATGAAAACGAAAAATTAAGTTAAATAAACTTGAGCTGATCTATTAATATTACAAAATTTACACTTAAAGAATATATCGTTAAAATTAATATTGTTTAAAAAGTGATTTAATTGCACATTTTTTTTTTATCAATTAAGACTTAATACCTGGTAATAATAAGGAAATTTCAATTTCATTATATTTTGTTAATGCATACTATTACTATTAATTATCAAGTTTTTATTGGAATATTTCTATTAAATTAAGCAAGGTTTTAATAATCGTGATTTATAAGGAATAAATTTTATTATAAAAATATTAAGTCATGTTATTAAAATAAAAATAAATGCATAATTCGATTTGATTTCTAATAAAAAAAAAAAAAAAAAAAAAAAAAAAAAAAAAAAAACTACATTTAAAAATATATTATGTATGTATATAAAGTTTAATATTGTATTATATGTAATGTATATCGACCAAGTTTAATTTATAAAAGAATATGTAACAAAGTGTTATAAAGAATATGAAAAATGGTAGTTTATTTTAATAATTTATAGTTTATAATCATATATAACGATTAAAAATGATTCTATATAAATGTACCCACATGTGATATCGAGATAAATATAATAATCGCTAGCCCAAAATTTTATTTAATTATACTTAATATATGGATCTATAATACATATATATGATAATATCTTTATTTTCTGATTTTTAATAATTATCTAGTCGTTAACATTGTGCTTAGATAGAGGACAATAAGGATTCTTTATTTTTTCTGAAAATATCAGTATGTACAATAAATTGATGTACTGTTTCACATTAAGATAATAATTTTCCACTCCATGTCTGCTCCAATTATTACACACTTTTGTTCCATATTAATAAGCTCGTTTTTCTGTTATTTTAATTTGCTTACGTCATACGGATATGTAAATGTTGAGCATCCTTTATATGATTTATATGGAAACTTTATTGAATATTTACTTAATAATTATTCTTTAATGCTTACATGTCTTATAGTCTATTTTCATAATAAGTTACATTATACTTATGAAAATATTGTATGTACTGGAAAAATAACTTCACTACAATTCTAACAAAATTATACATTTTTCATATAATTAAGGCATATCTGTAAAAATAAAACAATGAAGTTATCATAAGAATAAGTTATCATTTTAATTTCATTCGATTAATATTATGTAATATTATATAATTATAATTTATTATCATATTTTATGATAATATCTGAAAAAAAAGCATATTAAAATAGAGAATTAATGAATTGTTACTTTCATTACACTATAGTAGTGAAAATAATCTGAGACAACTGAATTTATCGCCAGTTGAAATTCAATTTTTTTAAAACTAGATTTTACCATACCTTTTATATAAATTTACGTTAATTATGTTTAAAATGATTTCAAACAAGCTTAGAATATAATTAGAAACTGGCAATTTCATTACATTTTTAACTTTAGGAATAGTACATGCATATACATATATATATATATATATATATATATATATATATGTTATAAATATAATTTTTTTTATATCTTTGTATACTAATTTAAAGTTTTTAAAATTAAAAATGTCTATAAACTGAAAAATATAAAAAAAAAATCTTGCATTGATATATATATATATATATATATATATATAATAATTGTATATGCTAATGACGGTATTTTAAAAATATGTATGTAGCATTTGCATTCGGAAATGTATAATTTACAATTGCATATAAAAATATTATGATTCTTTATAGTTTAATATAGTTTAAAATATGTCATTGAAAAATGTATTTCTTTTGATTAAACAATAAGCGTTGAATCATAATATTATTAGTAATGGAAAATTAAATTTTATTTTATCATCTGTTTGAAATATGTTTAAGTAAATTGAATTTGCTTAATCTTACTAAATAAATATTTCTTTATTTGCTTCATATACATATATTATACGCACACATCGTATTTATATTTTTAATAAATACATGTAAAAATGTAAAAATGATTATCGTAATGTATTTAATGTATATACATATATATGTGTACATATATATATATATATATATATATATATACATATATATTGATAATTTAAAAAAAAAATCACTCCATACTAGTAATTGAAAAATGTATGGGAAAATTACATTTTTATCAATTTTTATTAAGTCTAAGAATAAAACTTAATTTAATGATAATTAAATTAAAATTAACTTAAATTTTTTTTTAACAAATTTACTAATCATTTGGAGTTATTTTTCTTTTTAATTAGATAAATAGTTTTGATTTTATTTGTATTGTATAATTGAAAATTATAAAAATAATGAGAATAATTTATTTATTCTATTTAATTTTATACTTTATAATGAAAGAATTTATATTATAATATGATATAATTATAATATAATGTTGAACTAATATTTATAAATTAAATATCAATAATCATTATATCGTTCATTCTAATAAGAAATTTCACAACTTTGTATCAATTAATATGCTTCTTGCATATTTATCATTTATGTACAATTACTATTTTGCTCTAAATTATAATTAATCATATTTCAAGTTTATATATATGTTTTTTCTAGTATTATATAATTTCAATTTAACTTAATTAATAGCTAATTACTATAGAAAGGATAATTTACTTTTGGTGATAACAATTTATAGGCATGACGAATATTCATTAGTTCATTTCACTTATTAATTTACATACGGTAAACAATATGCTCAACTGAATACTTAAAGAGTTATATGGCAGCAATTAATTATTTTCTGAATCTTTAAACAGTTGATGTACAAATGGATTTACTGATCATGTATACTTTGTTCTACAAATCGGAAAGTCTTTTCTATTCTATTTACAATAAGTGCACATAATCAATTTTTTATGAATTTAAATATTATTATTACTGGAGAATTATTTATACAGGAGAAAAATAATATTTTGAGAATATCTGTATCAATTTTCATTAGTATATTATAATTTTGCGTCATAAAAACATGAATATTAAAAATTTATGGTAATGAGCAAAGTTTTTATTTTATTTCTTTTATTTCGTTATATTGAATTCAGTATTATCAATATATTGAACTATAATGTTTAAAATTATTATTCTGTAACTAAGTATGCATGAAATAGTATATATATTCCATTATTTTGAACAGATACCAAAATTAAATTTGAATTAAATGGAGATTAAAACGAAATATTTAAGGATTGTAGAAATATTTATTAAAAATTTAAAAATTAAAAAGGCGTAATCTTGATTAATTAGACTTTTCCCTATTAATCTGATAAAATACCATTTGAAAAGTACATGACAAGTGATAAAATTTGTTCCTTTATAGAGTTTTTAAAGTATTGATTAAGTAAATATCAAATTGAAAATTGTAATATAATTATATACATATATCTGTCTGTCTGTGTAACTGTGTGTGCGCGCGTGCGTGTGTGCGTGTGCGTGTAACTGTATATAAAATGTAGGTAAATTTTGTATTAATTTTTTAATCGTATATCAATGTTCTTCGTTAGATTATTATATGAATTAAAAAAAAGAACATTAAATATTTATAATAATAATTTTCATTAATATTATTTCACTCTAAAGTGAAATAAATTTTCAGTTTAGAGTCTCTATTAATTAAAAAAATATTTATTAATATTAATTAAATCATTTGAATTATTAAAAAATATTTCAATGTATCATTTATACTTTAAGTATTATTAACAATTTTTTTTCATTTAAACATATTCTTTGATGTAATAAAATATCTATTTTAACTCATCAAATTGAAATTCTAATTCTATTATTAGAACGTCTAAATTAGCCCGCATTGGAGATATCTGAGTTTCATGATTAAGAGAAACCTTAATCATACTTCTAACTAATAGCTTTCTATTCGTAGTAATTAAGATTTCATGTTTTTGACACGGTTTTAGTTATTTTCAAAACCTTATTGGTGTTTCAAGGTTTATGAATTTATAAGGATGATCGTAAAAAGGAATAAATTAAATATAAATTTTACCATATCAAATCAATTATGAATTATTATTTCAATTGAATACTACAAAAACTATGTTTTGGAGAATTCACAATAAGTCAAAATGAATAATTAATTTAAATATATTTTTATAAAGTGACATTTTTTTTATATGACTCTTTTTTTGGTATATAATTTTTTATTAATAACAGCTAATAATTTTATAATTTTTAGGGGAATAGAGCACCAATTGTAGATGGAAAGATGGTCAGAAAAATATAGATGGAATAATACAGATGGAAATTGTTATTTTAAATAGATTATAAACATTAAGTTAGTGTAAAAATTTTTATTTTATAATGATTATTTTTATTTGAAACTTAACTTTAATTTATGATGTTCTTTATCTTTGATTTTTGAATGTGGACAGTATATTTTAAAATTCATCGTGTTAAATGTTATTTATCAACATGTCTCTGCCCAACTTAAATGTATTTTCATATATAGCGGTGTTACGTAATTATTCTTTTTTTTTTTTTTTTTTTTTTTTTTTTTTTTTTTATGTAAATTGACAATATAACTAATCAACTCTTTACGGATTTTAATTTGTAAAATAAACTTTTTTGTAAAAATATAATAATAATATAAAGCGTAATCGCAGTTAGAAAAAATACTAAACCTATTTAACATAATGTTTTATGGTTGAGATTAAATAAATGAATTAGCTTTAAAATTATTATGCTTATAATAAAAAAGGAAAGAAATTATTGAATTGACGTATACTTGTTATATATTTCGATTAATTAAGATAATTCTATCCATTAAACACTAACAATTTTATTTTACATTATTTTCCTTACATTTCATTAATTGTATGTAATTAACTATATATATGATAAATAAAATGTGATTAGTATATAAAAAAAAAAAAAAAAAAAAAAAAAAAAAATGTTTAAATTTATTTTCTTTATATCCGATAGGTATATATTACAATAGAAATTAATGATAAACCGATAAATATTATGTGATTATTATGTTCTGATTATTTTAGAAACTAAACAAACCAGATTAATTTAAATATTTAAGCATAAATAGTCAAACTGTCGTTTGTCATAATAATAAATTAGCTTGTCTACGAATTAAAGTAATTGATTGTTTGGAGATGTAAGAATAAATGAAAAATTCTGCTTTTACAGATCTCACATTACTAAACTTTATTCATACTATTTAGAAGCTAAATAATTTTCACTTAACATAATGTAGCGATATGCAATTTATTAATTTATTGACTGATGAAAGAAAATGTCTGAAAAAAGAAAATACATTTACGTATAATTTATGATTTACAAGTTTTCACACAATTCATAAAATATCTCTGAATCAATGTATTACTAATATCGATTGGCAGAAGATATAATTGAATTTTTTTTTTTAATAAATAATTTTATTATATAATTTTATCACATACCATCGCCTTATTAAAACACACTTTACAATAAGAAATTATAGCTGATTTTAGTATTCTCGTATTATTTTATTTATAAGTATGTCATCTGCAAGGATGCTGAATGATATTAAAAAGAAAAAACAAAAACAAAAAAAAAAAATAAAAAAAAAAAAAAAAAAAAAAATTAAAAATACCAGAGATATATATTTATAAAATGATATATTTGTGGATGTGATAAATGGAAAAAATTTTGATTGATAATTATTTATAAATAATGATTAGATAAAATACTCCGATAGATGAGTACAGAGAATCCTTGGTATTTCAATGATTTCTCGTTCGGCGCGTAATCGTATGATTTTAAAAGCAAATTATTCCATTATTTATTATTGAGAATTTCTCATTTAAGCTCATTGTAAAGCAAAAAAATTATTGTTTCAGATAACGTTAGGCAATTTTCTTAGTTATGTCTTGAATTTTGCATTCGTTTTTAGAAAAAGATTACCGCCTTTTGTCCAGTGCATATTATTTTATTAATTCGATCTGTTAATCATTGGACCAAGTAATTCCATCGAGATTAAATTAAGATTTCACGTGAAATTTGGTATGTTCATATTTACAAAAAGTTTCAGTACCTGTATTTGCATAAGCCTAGTATACACATTATTTAATTAATACTAGTGTACTGTACATTTCATGATAATCATTTTGCAGTCAACTATGGTAGCTGAATGGACATTTCTTTGAATAAAAAAATTTCCAATTCTATTACATGCATTTCGTAAGTTGCGAACATTAGATTCTATAGGTCCGAAGAAGCCACACTTTGAATTCTTGAATGTAATCAATAATTTGTATTTTCACGTAATACGATGTGCATGAAATTATTTAATATTTAAGTATAATTTTGCTATGATATATCATAGATTTATGTAACTTAAGTTATTAATTAAGCGATGATAATATAATTAGCGTTTATAATTAAATTAATTAAAATTAATAAATCAAGAGATATTGTTTATAAAGGTACGCGCGTAGTATAGTTTTGAATTTTTTTTGAATTATTTAGATTTGAGTTGTTATATAGACGCATACACTTATATAAGTAATATAAACAAATTAAAGTTTCGTTCATTGTTCAAATACGTTTGAAGAGTCGAAGAAAATTTTTAAGCATTTAGAACTTTTCAACTGTCATTTTAACGATAATTATCAATAATTCTTATTCATTATACGATTTTCCAAACAAACATACTATTAATAATAAATTATATATATATATATATATATATATATATATATAATAATTGTTATATATACTTGAAGATGTAAATGTAAATTAATTACAATGTAATTCAATAGTAAAGTTGTAAATATAAATTTTGTAATATACAATTTTAGAATCGTTCTTGTATTATCATATTTTACGCACACAATAAGAAATATCGAATGAAGTATGCGAGGACTAGTTTTTATTATTAAATTATACAATATTATTTATGACAATGGAATATTGTCCAATATACGTTCCAATATGCACAATTACACACGAAATAATGCGAAAAGTTTATTCAAAATTAATTTTAGACATTACACGTCACATTGATTTTAGAAAATAGTTAAAAGATGAACAGAAATTGTTGTATTAGGATGATAAATGATATTGTCCACGGAGAAAAAGAATTTTTCTTAATACGAGTGCCTTCATAAATAATTCTCATAGTATGACAATCACGAAGAGAATTATGATAAAGAATTATGTATTTGTAATTTCACGAATAATGTGCGAATGATCATGAGCTTTAATGTAAAGTGAACCGCTGACGACTTTAAGCGACACGAATGGACAACTGAACGTTTCAACAATCAAGACTTCAAAAGTGCCTCTCTCTTGAATTCCGATCGACTAGCAGGATTCAATGTCTCTTGCGCTAAGGACATACTTGACTTTTTGCTATTTCTGGCTTTCAAAATATTTCACGCATGTATAAACTTAACGATTGTACGGTTGCAGTATCGAGTCTGGAGTCTCAACTTTAGTCATCCGAGGTAAAATGGCGACGATATATACGTATATACATATACATACATAAACAGCAAACACGCAAACACTCATGGGCATACATGTGTGTTTGCTTGCGCGCTTATACCCATACATACATACATACACATATATAAATATATCGCTATGCACACGTTGTTTTCACCCTGCAATGCTTGCTTTGCTGCTTATACCTTCGAAAATGCATTTTCATTCAATTTCGTTAGATCATCGACGATCGATTGTATTATTATTTATTTATTTCTTCTGTTTTTTTTTGTTTTTTTGTTTTTTTTTTTTGTTTTTTTTGTTTTTCCCTTTCTTTTTTTTTCTTTTCTTTCTTTTTTCTCTCTTCGATATCACAGTCGGCTATGATTATGCTCCGGGTCGATAATCCGCCGTAACATTCTTGAGGAACGAGTAAATCTCTTTGAAGGTTGGTCGAACTGATTCGTCTCTCTTCCAGCATGAACATATGACTTTGTATACATTATCGGGGCACATCATTGGTTTCGGTAAGAGGACCTAAAAAACAAACGAACAAACAGACAAACAAACAAACAAACGAACGAATTAAATAGATAAATAAGAAAAAGAAAAAAAAAAAACGAATTCACAAGCTTTAACTGATTTGAAAAAATTGATTATTTCAACGACACAAGATTTAATAAAAAACGACAATTCTTCAGCATTGAAAGATTCAAGAAGCTTAACAATGATTTCATTTTTCATCTCAATATCACGAGCTCTATATTTTTAACATTTGAATTTTATATTTAATGCAATAAGAAACACCATCCACTCACTTGCAATTCACCTCCGTAATACATAAGCTCGGCATTTTGTATAACCTGCTCATTTGTTAAATGTTGAAATGGTTTTTCTCTTGCAAAACCCATTATTTCCCAAAACGTTACCGCAAATGACCAAACAGTGCTGGAGCAAGTGTATCGATCCTGAAGAAAAAAAAAAAAAAAAAAAAAAAAAAAAAAAAGAAAAAAAAAGGGATAGAGAAAGCCGTTAATATTAGCCGTTAATAGGCATTAATTAGCATGCGATAAGCATTAAAGGCATTGAAGGTAAAATTTTTGAAATTCTCTATTATTGTCAATGTGCATTCTCACAAAGACCATGAATTTTCTGTCGACATTATTGAACCAATTGAAGAGGGCTCGAGCAGTAAAAATTTACTACGACGAATGATTTCTATTTGAATTGCCCTTTCCCATTAACCTTATCGGCCACCTGTCGTTACTGTTGTTAAAATCTTACCAGCAATATGCTCTCCCAGGGCAGCCACCTGATTGGTGCTGGAGGTCGTCCGCCGATGTCACTGTAATCTTTCTTGTACAAGTCGCTGCACATGGCAATATCTGTAACCTTGACAGTGTAACATCTACCGAGGAGGCAATTCCGGGCGGCCAGATCTTTGTGCACGAGGTTCTTTGACTCCAGGTAGCGCATGGCCGATGCTATTTGCGTCCCCATGTACAACAGGCAGCTTTGACTGTGACCAAACGACAAGATTCATCATTAGGGTTTATCCAGCAGTTTGTAAAGCTATTTTATGCGACAAGTAGCGAGTGGCCATCGTTTAATGAGCCGTAACGGCTGACAATAAGATTTTCTTAGCGATTGATTTGGAGCGCCGTTATTAGCCATTCATTTTTCTATTAAAATTCATAGGATTATTTATCTTCGATTATTTACGGAGTGTCGTTAATCTTGATTGTTCGAGAATTATTAGCCACTCTGCGTTGAGTTGCACTAAGAATTTATGAATGCCGTTGTTCATTAAATTAATGGGAATTGGCGATTCAAACGAGATAAAATTGTTCAATTCCACAACATTATTCGTCTTATGGAGTCTTATGAAGAAAATATTACGCGATAATGGCGACGCTGACGTTGATGATAAATTACATAAATCAATTGATTCGACATGGCGATATTCGTCCAAGGCTTGTGGCTGCGCCGAGTTCAATATACCTAGGATATGGAAATAATTTATTCTTAATCAACTTTTCGTCAGTTTCTCGCGAGACATAGCAAATGAAGTCAATTGACCGAGAATGGTAAAGAATATACGATCGGCCGAAAAAAATAAATCGACTCTAATTTAATTAATTTTTCGGAATTAAGTTTTATTTTTTATTCTGTAAATTTAAAAAATCGTGTAAATTAAAAAAATCTCTCACCGACCGAATAAGCGACCGATTTCATTGATATTAAATACGTCACAGAAAACTATCAACACCATCATCGGCAAAACACAGGCATGAAATTCTCTAAATTAAAGAGCAATTTCCCTCGGCGTACTTCGCAGTCGCTATTACTGCCAAATATATGAAGGGCGAGAGATGCCGAAGATGAGAAGAAAATTACACCTTCCCACTACCCAGATGGCATGGCTGTCCTCGTTGCCGAGGACCTTCAAAGTGTCGCGCGGGACGGTCGAATAATAGAGTGGACGATAGTGCAAAAGGAGTCGTATCGCCGGCTTAAATAAAACAAAAGATAAATCGCGAGGCCAGCGGGGCCCTTATCATTATCTTAAGATAAGCTAATTGATAAAAGTGCCACGAGGCGAGTGTTGCCGGCGCGTGTGCTTATCGACCTTAAATTGATTCGCCGAGGCGAGGTGCAGTGGGACAGGCAGCCTTCACCTGATGAAGTTGACGGTGCAACTTGGCCGTTGGGTGCCGACGAGGGGCTCGCTGTACTGGAGGTAGTGGGCGAGGTCGCCGAGCTCCGTGTACTCGATGATCGTCCAGGGCCTCGAGGGCTCGGCGTCACGCACGAGTCCGAGGACCCGGGCGAGGTTGGGATCGGCGAGACTCGCCAGGAAACGCACCTCCCGCAGTCCGTCGCTCGCCTCCTTGCTCGTGCCCTCGGTGATGTTCACAAGGTAGTCGGGGCTCGGTATCCTCGCGACAGCCAGTCGCAGGGGCTCGGCACCCCGACTCGGGGATGGCGTCGACTCGGGCAGACCCAGTACCGCGCAGACTATTGCCTATGCCGAGGGAGAACAACACCGTCGGTTTATTCGTTAATGGCTAGAGGTTGAGTAAGCTAGTGCCGCCTGATTGATCTAAATTCCAATGGGCACGGCTGATGTGCATTTTGGCATTTCGGCGAATGGAATTGGCAATTTCCAAAGGTATTGTTCAAGGCTCGATACCGTTAAAATAGCCGAAACAGAGACTACTTTGGCTCATTGGCAAGAGATTCTTCACCGCGCACAATACTATTCTTCGTTTCGTTTAGAGGGTTGCCCAATAACAATATCTCCCCCCCCCCCCCCCCCCCCCCCCCCCACCCAACCCCAAACCCCCACCCAACTTCTTTAACAAACTGTTCCTTCTGCTGGGCTAAGTGATTTTTTCAAATTTTTTCCCATTACAGTTTGTTAAAATTCACCCTACGAATGCTTTTATTATTACATACATTCATGCATACAAACATGCATACAGAAATATATACACTGATATTTCAAAAGTTTTGTTTCTTTCATGTATTTCTGCTTTGCAAAACGTTTGAGAAACTTTTCTATCGAAGAATGGCATAAAAAATTCAAGAATAATGATAAGAAAATTAAAAACTCCATCGGATCATTTGTTATTTGGTGTTTTGTAAAAGAAGTTTTTTTTTAAACTTAAGAGATATTTTTATTTAACTTTCTCATGTTTAGAATAATTATTTATCCATTAATCAACATTTTTTTCTCAATTATTATTGTCCTAGAGTAATATTAAAGACGCACTTTCTATATATTTCTTTACAAATATGATCGTCGTTGCTTCTTTAACTTTTTATTATTGAGATAAAACTTTTAAATAATTGCACGTTTCTCTAAATTTGCTTATTAAATTGCGCGAGAGAGTGAGAGAGTGGGAGAGTGTGAGAGGCGTGGGTGGGGAGGGGGAAAGGCTGTGTTAATAATAACTTTATATTAATATAAACGACTGTTCTTCTTGGTTGTATTTAATATTTTTCTCGTTAATTGGCTATACTATTAGAGAATTCTATTGTGAATAAAATGCTTATTAACATAATGACGAATAAGACTTGCATACATAAATAAAATTGAAAATAAATTTGTTCATTAATTATGTTATTCCTCTCTCTCTCTCTCTCTCTCTCTTCCCGCTTTCACTTAAAAAAACGAAATTACTAAATTACTGGATCAGTCATGCACTTTCGTTTTAATTAAGCACTCCATATAATATTATAAATTACTCAGAATACGATGCTCTGATAATTTTCATACTATTAAAAGACGTATTTTATGTATTGTTATATTAAAAATTTTTTAATACAAGTCTTAATTAAATAGATTTAAGAGAAATGGAGATTTTAATTTTCACACTTTGATTGATAAAAAATTCTATTATTAATAAAATAGATTAATTATTTATATTTACTTTACTATTCGTATTCTACTGTTTCAGTGTACCGTTCTTTCGTATTCACGATCATTGTATTAATTTACTTTATGATGAAATGAGACGAAGATCTATGATTGTTCATTTGTTTTTGTGAGCGCAAAAGTAAAAATCTTACTCATTGAATTTATTAAAAATCTATGCTATTACTTCATTTCACTATTCCACACGATAATTGAATCCAATAAAGCATACACTTTATTAGATTATCATTAATTGTTAAATATAAAATCGTGTACAATATGTCGTGTCGTGAACTCAATGTGAATTATAAAAAAAAAAAAAAAAAAAAAAAAAAAAAATTCTTAAAAATATCATCTTAAAAATCTAATCTAAAGATGAAATTAAACGAATTTAATCTAGACTCAGTCTTTAAATATTCTAAATGTCGGTCAGATAAGGATCAAATTCACCACTTTGAGAGGATACAATTTCAAATTTCATGTTACGTTGAACAATAACGCTTCTTTTTCTCTTTCAACTTTGTTACCCTGTCACCTTCCGTACACCCTACCTACAGTACAGCCATTTACATTTATCACTTGACAAATTCACCAATGTGTAAAATTGTGCACTTGAGCGGTCATTCGCAGTAATGTCAATAAATCAAAGAATAATTTTCAAAAGCTTAATATAAAAAAAGGGGGGGGGGTTGGAAGAAAAAAAGTTTCGCAATCAAAATTAGATTTGCAATCAAAAAGCTAGTTTTTCCATTTCTGCTGGTCGATAATTTATCACCGTATAGTTAAATACTTAGTTGACTTATGAAAAAGGTTAGTTTACATTTAATCTTTTCAGCCCTTTTCATTTTATATTTAATAGTTTATTATACAAAGTGTGAACACGAAAGATTGCAGAGAGCAAAAGAGAGATAGTATGGTGGAGTGAGTGAGAGAGGTCAATGTATGGAGAAAATAGAAAATAAAAGAAGTAATTATTCAGAGCTAATTTGAGAAAGAAGAGCCGAAATAAACTTAAAATTTGCTTGTGCAAATACATCTATGGTTAAGAGTTTCAAATTACCGTGTCTGTAGGTACGTGCATTTTCGACGCGCGGTAATTGCAAATTTGAAAAGTGATCTGGAGTTTGTCGGAGGATACCGTATGAATATACATGTGCTCAAGGATGCTTTGGTACGCACGTGCATACGCGCGCCAAGTATGTTTGCGTGCATGATCAAACGAGTACGTATGCGGACGCATGCGCTCGGGCACCCACATTCGCTCCAGGTACATATTTGTATTTGTATGTAAGCGCGAGGGAGTCGCGGGTTGTTTTCTCGCTCGGGGACTTCCCAGGGCTCGATGTTGTGCGTCACGAACTTGACTACCGCCGTCTCGCGGTCCTTTACCTGCCTCGCGTCCTGCTTACTCCCATGTCATCCTTTTCTCGTATTCCTCTCGTAGATCGTAGTTCGCTAGTTGCACAGCAATGGTTATGGCCATGCGCCGATATGTCGTGAGAGAGAGAGAGAGAGAGGGGGGGGCAGTACGAGCGCGCGCGCGCATGTGTGTGTGTGAGGGGCGGAGAGGCAGACGGTGAATGTAATCTCTTCATCTGCTCAAGGGAGGTCGAGTGTGTTTGCGGCGACGGTAACGGGGGTGGGGAGACGGGAGGTATAAGGCGAGTGCGCACGGTATGGTGAGTGTGCGTTGAAGGACGCACAAATTATAAGAACATCAGTACAATGAAGTTCGCGGAGAAAAGAGCACAAAGTAATAACTGAATAGCTTTTTGGTAAAAACTAGATATCCAGTTACTAGTTAACGAGAAACCCACATACATCCATATTTATTCAAAATAAACTCTTTAAAACTTTGTTCTAACAATAATGGTGGATAAATAATTTTTATATGAAAAATATCGTTTTTTATTGCTTTTGTCTCCTCACAACTTTTAAGCAGCAAAGTTCCTGAATAATATATGTTTCATTAAAGAAAAAATAACTACAATTAAGATTCATTTGTTTGCTTCTAGGATGCTACACAAGAAAAAAAAAAAAAAAAAATAGTTAAACAAACTTCAAGGGCAAAATCTCATATTCAAACATAGTATTTGAAAATACCAATACAATATTACACACACGACTAATAATTTCATATACTATTTTAATAATAGATATTTTAATTCTGTATATTGTAATTATCTACAACAAATTTTTCGTTTTATATCGTTTGGTTATACATACATGTCGGTCGTATAAAATATATATGCTATCTAAAAATGTATTTATTTCTGTTACAAATTTTATAAAATATTTTACCATAAGCCAGCCTATTATTATTATCCATGATTATTAATTTAATTGGAAATTTTAGATTTCCCACGAGAATAACCAATACGTGTACACCCGATAATATTACTATTTAAACTAATTATCTTTTAATTAACCATTAAACTACTGTCCAAAGCAAATGTTCTTTAAAATAAATTTGGATATATGACTGTGTTAAATCTTTATTAACAATATTTTTATTTAGTATTCATTACGCTTTAAGTAAAAGTAAAGAATTTGTACCAAATTATTCTACAATTTTCTTCTAAAATAATCATGATTAATGAAAAAAAAAAAAAATAATAATAATAATAATAATACAGATATTTTAATAGTTGCACAATTTTTAATACGTATATTTATTATATTTAATAAGACGAAAATTGTTTTGCTTACATAATAGCTAAAGTTATTAAAAATTCAATAAACTATTATTGTAATTATTATTAAAATTTTAACTTGGCAGAATATACATAAATAATATCCTGAGTAGAGGAAAAAGCATTAGCACAATATGATTTCATATGCTCTCATGAATAAGAAGTTTACCATTCTTTCTTGTGCTGTCACTTTCTTTTCGGGACTTTTTCAATATTTTCCATATTCAAATATACAGAAAATATATTCATACCTTTTCTTTTCGCGTACATTGCTTTCATCCCTGTAAATATATTTTTATCCCGAAATTAATGAATTTTTGACGAGTGAACGGGATGAAAGGGAGGGAGAGAGAGTGAAGCGAAGGAGGAGAAGGAGTGAGAGAGAGAGAGAGAGAGAGAGAAAGAGAGTGGGAGAGACAGAGTTTAAATGAAACCACTGATTCGAAGCATAGCTGTTTCCGTACAAATCCTAAAATCAAGTAGTATCCTTACGTGAACGAGTAACCTAAGATTGTACGTACTTGTTTGTTATTTGCACGAGACAGTCTTGTGGTTCTTCGCTATGAGTCTTATGGAGAAAACAAGACCAAACGCAAGAAGGCGAGCGAATTGAGTAAATGAAGGTGGTAGAACACACAGAGAGAGAGAGAGAGAGAGAGAGAGAGAGAGAGAGAGAGACGGTGGAGAGGGGAAGTGATGGGTGGCGAGGGAGGGAGGGGGGGGAGAACGTCTCACAATACCCGCAGGCGAACTACAAAAGCTGCCGTCGAGATACACGTAATACGGAAGGGATCCAATGAAACCGTAGCCAAGCATTTCAAGGTTCCCTGCCTCTTATGTGCATCAACATCACTTTTGTTGCGTAAGAATTAAAAGAAAAAGAACAACCAATGAGGGTAAGAAACAAAAGTAACTATCGGA